ATTTGGGATTTGAATCTTGAAGTCTGGCTGGCATTTTCCACTAATGAGAAAAAAATGACTTGGTACTGAAATGACTAAATTGAACTACACACTTGCTCCTCTATCATTTTGTAAAGCCAAAATGACTGCGTCATACACATTGCTTGGGGTCTTGTTTTTCTATTTAATTTGAAAACTCTTCAATTCTCTATAAGTGATACAGTTATTATGGGGGTGCCAGAGAAGACAGAAATTCTGCTATTCAGGAAGACTTCCTGGTGATCACAGAACGGCCAGGTCTCTTTGGACTAGAATGACATGTGAGAATGAGAGGTCATGCAGAGTCTGGATGCAGTGCTGGCATCTTCATCTTTTGCTTCTCCTGCCAGCTAATTTCTGCTCTTTCCTATGATTTCTGCTGAAGCACTTTACAGTATACCTATGTGCTACCTTTTCCTGTGAGTCATTTAGTATTTGCAATGCCTATCAACTAACTTCATCTCCAGTACCTCCAGTTCATATAGTCAAGTGTGAGAATATGATTGGCTATTCATATGGGCCAGCACTTCCTGCTGATCCTTGGCTACCCCACTCACTGCTCAATTCACTCTTGACTTAAATGCCCACTCCTGGACCAATCAGTTGCGGCAGGAGGCCAGGTCACATAGAAAGACGATTTTAGAACCAGGCTGTAATGGGATTGGGAGCTATTGTCACAGACATGTTTTAAAATCTGGCTTGTCCCCACTAATATTATTTAGATATAAGACTTCTGGATTTAGGTTTTTAAATAAGTGTTATATAAAATTATATAGAATTAAAAATAGCCTTTTAAATTTAAAAGTCAATGTTGTTCCACTCTTGAATATATCTATCTCGACATTCTTTGTAATAAATACTTCCACCCAGAGGCTTTTTTATATATTTAATTTCCTTAAGATGTGTAGAATGTGGTAGATATTATAGTTGTTTCCTTATCTGATAAATAATATATCCCTTTTCTTTACGCTCAGCATTTCAATTACATTTCACTATTACAAGCCTTGTGCTAAGAAAGTATGCAGATATGTCACAAGAAAGAACCAGGATTCAAATTAAAGTACCTCTATGAACCTTTAGTGTTATCTAGAACACTAGCAGGAAGAACAAACTCAGCATTTACAAATATCAATAATAAGAATTTTGGCCAAATCAATGTTAACATCATTTTTATACTTGGAAAAACATGGAGTACACAATTATGTAGGATAAAAAAATCAATAGCTCGACTCATACTTAAAAGTAAGACAATGCATTAAAAAGAATGATTTCAAGTATTATTCATTTAGAAAATGTCTGTAGAAAGATTCAATTTTACCTTAAGACTTGGGACCAATAATAGCAGACTTTGCAACATGGGGACCTGGGTTAGAAAAGCAGTTTGTGGCTATGAAACAGATCAAAACAAACTAGCCATTAGGGACTAGAATCCCTGACCTAGATCTCATTACTACCAGGCTTAGCCCCACTGAATGAGCTGTTTATTGATAACATTTGGATACCTAGCAGATGAATGAACCTTTACTCCTTACTTAAAATTCCTTTCTTAGTTCTATATTATTCCTACTAAATTGTGACAGTGTTACTAATACATGTGAGGGGGAGAAGGGAGGGCCATAGCATTCCAAGAGACCTCAGAAATCAGTTTCTGTTTTCTCTGTCAAATTAGGGAGATGATTGAAGCCTTAAAATGTGAGGTGACCTGCTAAATGGTTGCCAGCAGTAGTGGCAGAAAACTGGATTAGAACATGAACCCCTTCGACTTCACTTCTGAGTGCTTTCAATTTGTGAGGGACTGGCTCATGGAGGAGATCATCCGTGAATTTGTCAGTACAGGAGTGTACCCTATGTTAGGAACAGGGAGTTTGATTTCTAAATTTAAGTTCAGGCATAGTGGAAGTTATAGGACCCGATACAGTGAGAGGTTTTGTTTGTTCTTTGTGGTAGTGGGAATTGAACCCAGGTGCCCTTTATCACTGCCCTATATCCCCAGCTCTTTTTATATGATTTATTTTGAGACAGGGTCTCACTAGATTGCAGAGGCTGGCCTTGAACATAAGATTCTCCTACCTCAGTCTCCCAGGCCAAGGGGATTACAGGCATGCACCCCTGCATGGGCTCAATGAGAGGTTTAAATGGCCTCCATTTGTGGGGTGATCAGAAGCCTCAAAAACTCTGAAGAGTGAATTGTTTAAAACATTTTCTGTGGAAAATGACCATAGTTGGGAATGGAGTCATATGCAGGGAGTGGAAGTTTGGGTATGAGTAAATAAATACAAAGAAAAATAGTTTGGACAGCCAGGGAATCTGGAGACCTGGGTCTGAAGAATGGATCTGGTATGTAGGTGTGCAGGGTGAAGCAAAGTAGAATGGGAAGTGAGGAGAGGGGTAGAGACTGATGAGATTAAATGATGCTGGAAAAAATGTATTCATCATGCATGATTAAACAGTGACTGAACAGCAGAAGGTTGAAGGTATGGCAGAGAAGCTTCTAGTATATTACCACTTAGGGAACAGATGGTGAAAATCCTCTACATATACTCATTTATATAAATAATAAAACAATGTTATCTGGATGCTAATGGTGTATTCAGCCTGTCTTGGATGGTGGCACTGAAGATTCCTTGTTAATAAAAACAAAACAAAACAAAAAACAAAAAATCTTGGTAGTAGCCTTTAAAGTCATTATTCTTACAGGGGAGTACCTTCAAAATATTTATTATCATGAACCACATCTTGGGAACAACTGAGATGAGGTTCTAATAATGACCTCTGAAGGAGAAAGACAATGTATTGTAGAGTGCCTCATGTCATCCTTATTTCTATTAGTGAGACTCAGTCAGTGCGGCAAGCCTTGCTCTCTAATCTTGGGCCTTTATCAGGTACTTTATGATTGGAGCATGTACTTGGACACCTTGGAAATAAGGGGACATCACACACCCTGGATGCATGTCCTTCAAGAATTAGCTGAAACATCATTTATAAAAAATCTCCTTATTGCCACCAGTGCTCCTTGACTATACTTGTTCCACATACCCCTACTATAACATTTACCACACTAGAAAATAATGCCAAATTTACTACACTGTTTCTCTCTCACCAAACTGAATTCCTTATAGCCAAGGCCTAGTTTTGGTCATCTGTTTACCTCTGGCACATTGTGGAGTGCTTAGCACAAGACAGACCATTCAGATACATTTACAGACTGTTGAACCAATATCTCTGAAAATCCATGTACGATAGAAATACCATCCAGAAATAATCTATAGAGAATGAATATAAAATGGATTTTTAGAAAGAGGAATCTAAAATTAATTTGAGTTTCTTTTGGGGCAAGGTCTTAGTTTGCCACATAATTCATGGTCTTTTTTTTTCTTCTCCCATAGTCTGCCTTTGGCCATTTTGCTGCTTATTATTCAAGGACTAGAAAGCAAGAAGCTGAAATTGAGACTGGTTAATGAAACTACTTGAGAGCTGCTTTGAAAAAGGTTGGATGTGGTGAGTGATATCAGTAGGGAACAGTGGTTTGAGATTATCCATAGCTCTCACTAACCCAGTCTTTCCCCTTCACAGAATGGAACCAATAGCTGTCCAGTATAGGAAGCATATTTTATAAGCTCATTTCCGCATCACAGGGTTTGTACCTTTGTCTAAAGTATACATCAAGCTACATGCCTTGATTTTTGGTTTGGAGAATTCAGTCACTATACCAACAGAAGAAAGAGTTGGGTGGTCTGCTCCTCTAGGGTAATTTCATGGTCCTAAGGAAAGAATTTAACAGTTTATTTTCTGAAGCTGGCTCAAGGAACATTCCTTAGGTGAAAAAAATTCAATCAAGAATAATATTACTTACATTTTTGGGGAAGGATTTTTAATACAGAATTTCCATCTGTGATATATTTAAATTCTAAGCCTCAGGCAACAATTTCAGAAAAGGGTCTCCTTTACCCTTTATTAGATACAAAATAAATAGTTCACTCGAGGGGTGGGGGCTTCTCCTCACCTTTTCACTTTTACAAAATATAAGGCTTGCTTTGCCATTCTTAAAATCACACTAGCTACTCCTGCGCCCCTCCCCCCAGCAAACTTGGATATTGGCATTAACATGTTTATTCCAACTTTAATTACTTGAATTATTTTGTATAAGTACATTTATCTAGTAAGGAGGACGGTGAGCTGCCCCAAAGACTGCCTGCAGTAAATAAGCGGAGAGCTGTCAATACTGAAATACAATACTCTCTTGATCTAGTTTTGACATGTTGACAAAGGCAGGTTTTGCTATTTAGGACCACTCAGCCATCTTGACTGAATACATTAGGAGGGTAACCCTAGACCTGCTTATTGCCAAGGTACCTGAACAGTGATTTCTAAGTTAAGGTAGGAATCCCAGCATATCTCAAAACAGAGGCCTAACCCATCAAATCTATTAATACAGATTCACACTTAGGAAGTCAAAAGAACGCGCAAGTTTTTTAATGCATACTTTATTATGCATTCTTCCAGTCCTAAAAAGAGGGAGAGATTGTACTCCGTAGAAGCTTAAAACTTTATTTTTCATGACCTGTAGCATGTATTTAGGCTTTGGGTAGCGTTTGTGTAAAAACGAAGGCCCACTCTTTAATGGCTGAATGCATACATTTAAAAGCACATGGTGGATTAGCTGCTAGGAGAATTGCCTTTAAAAAAAGTAAAGTGAAAAACAGACAAAGAAATCTATAACCTTAGCAGTCTTTCACATTTGTTTAGACTGTTCTTGAGCCCGCTTCGAGCCGGTGACAAGGATCTCGAAAAGATGCACCTGAAACAGTATCTGCGGGCAGCTGCATTTGCCAAGCGGCTTTATTGCTGCTTTCCAGCGGCGAAGGCGCAGCAGCACTAACAGGGAAGCCAGAGCGAGCCTCCCCGGCAGCGGCGGCGGCGGCGGCGGCGGCGGCACCGGCACCAGCGCAGTTTCCCCTCTCCCCAGCCCTGACTCTACGCGCACATGCGCACTGCGCCCGCAGCCCTGGACCATTTGTCAGGACTACTCGTGAGACGGAGAAAAAAAAAAGAGAAAATTTGGGGGTAAGAAGCGGCTGATCGGATCTAATCTCTAATTAATCTGAAGATTTGTCCATGCAAAAGCCATTCATTTATTTTTCTGGGTGAGGATGAAAGTTAAGAGACCTATAGAGGGAAGGAAGCGCACCCTCGTCTTGTGAAACAGATCAGGGGAGGGGAAGGACAGAAGGGGTTTCTCCCCCACTTCTCTGCGCCTCTGGGAAAGAGGAGAAAACTTAATCCCGGGAAAAAAGTGGGCAAGTGACTCGGAAACGGCTGGAGGGGGAGTCTCTGGGCATCTCACTCTGAAGTAGTGAGTGCGAGTGTGAAAGAGGAACAAAAGAGAGAGAAAAGAGAAAGGAAAAAATGGGGGGAGGAGAGACTTGTATTTTTTTCTTTGCGCGCACACGGGGAAGGGTGTGGGGGGCCGTGCGGAAGGGAGCCGGGGCGAGACGGCCGCGTCGGGTTCTCGCCCGCGCGCAGGCGGCGGGATGCGTGTGGGCCCCCTCCCCCGCGCCCCCCGAGCTTGTCACTTTGGTCGCTTTCATGACACCGGGCGCGGGGTGGGGGAGCGCGGCGGCGCCGGGCTCCGCCAGGGTGCGTGTCCGGGTGGGCGCCGCGGAGCCGCAGCCCGGGCGGCCAGCGCGGCGGCCGAGGCAGGGGCGCCGGCGGGGG